ATCATTCAAGGTCAAGTCCATATTTTCATCATGTGTCCCCCTTAGAACCGAACAACTTTTGTCTGAAACATTTCTTTCTATCTTGCTTTATTTTTTAGATATTTAGGTGTCTCAATATAAATGCCACATATTATATATATGTATATATGTATATAATAATAATTTAATTTGGTAAATATGCTTATTAGGACTCATTCCCAATGTTCTTAATCTTGACATATGTTATCAAAGTCATGATCCTAAGTAACATCCAAAAGGTTTTAGCCGTCGCTCGTTGTTTATTAAAAAGTCATTAACAATTAAATTTTACGATAAGAACAAGTATTATATGCGATAATCTAAACTTTTCCGGTTTGAAAAAACATGAATTTTATATTAATTATATATTTAAATATTTAAGTATGCATGGGTGCGGGAGGCTCCGTTACTCTATAATAATTTTATCTAATAATTTTCATTCAAAAAATAGAAATTAGTTTCAGTTAGGTTAAAATTTTTTGGGGAGGGGGTGCAGGGGGAGGGGCTCCACTGCTCTCTCGCTCACGCATTCATTTTGCAATGACTATACAGACAATAATTTAATTAATAATTATCACGGATGCGTACGTATGCATGTGTGTATATCTATGTATCTATAAAGGGTGTCCGGGGTCGGAGTCAATCGCATCACCCGTCGTGTGCAGATAGAGCGGATTAAACTGAGTAGGAAAATCCGTTATCATTTTGCGATTTTTGTAATAATTATTGAGAAATTAATTAAAAAAGATGGATCAGTTCGCATGAATATAAGCGCGCGGCGAGAAAGGACGGCCCAGAGACAACCTAAAAGTTTGCGGTCGCTAGGCGCGCGACGAAATTTTGGGAGGAACGCTCTACAAATGAAAACGGTTACGTACGGGCGATACATAACGATGGACTCCGCTTCCTAGCAACCACACATCAATGGATTATCCCTTTTTACTGCGCGCTTATACTACACGAATTGGTCGATCTTCTTTAATTATTATAATTTCTCAATAATTATTACGAAAATCGCAAAATGGTAAAGGACTTTCCTACTCAGTTTAACCCGCTCTATCTGCACACGACGGATGATACGATTGACTCCGGACACCCTGTATACAAATGGAGTTTTGTGTAAAACTCACATAGAACCGTACAATTATAAATCGTACAATTATAACCATACAATTATATTGTTTTTTTCATATACAGGGTAACCCGCAATGACCGCCCACTAAGTACATAGCGTTATTCCTTACAAAAAACTGAGTCGGAAAGTCCTGAACCATTTTTTTATAACTCCTTTATTAAACGTTATAAAAAAAATGGTTCAGGACTTTTCAACTCAGTTTTTTGTAAGAAATAACGCTATGTACTTAGTGGGCGGTCATTGCGAGTCACCCTGTATATTTATCATACTTAATTATAATCAATAATACAGACATTCGTGATAATTATTAGTATTAAATTATTGTCTGTATAGTCATTGCAAAGTAAATGCGTTGGCAGAGACAAGGGCTCCACTTCTCACGCCCACGCATTTACTTAAATACTTAAATATACAATTAATATAAAATTCATGCTAGAGATCTTCCGATTATCATATTTAATACTTGTTCTTATCGTATAATTTAATTGTTAATAACTTTCTAATAAACAATGAATGATGGCTAAAATCTTTTGGATGTTACTTAGGATCTTGATTTTAACAACATATGTCAAGTCATGGTCAAGTTAAGGTCATTAGGGATGAGTCCTCTAATTACCTTTAATTTATTTAATTATTTACACATGTCATATTGAGACTATCATTTTCGTCTTTTATTCTATCTTCTAAAACAAAATTTTTTTATATTTAGGATTACGTATAAATTTGTGCCTAAACGAGAAAAATCATGTTGAAATGGCAAAGAGCGTTCTAGTCTTGAACTACTTATTAATGGAATCACTGGTACTCACCTATGGTGGTGACTTCCTACAAAGGGAAAGTGAAGGTATATTTTATGCATTATACACAACTTCCTGGTTCACGCTTCCTTTAGCGCTGATGAAGGACCTGCACTTTGTGATGATGAGGTCAAACATTCCGTTTCGTCTTACTGGTGGAAAATTTTTCTACGTTAATCGCGAGACAATGATGTACATTCTCAAGACAGCAGTCTCGTATGTTTCCGTTTTACGAATAGCATTAAAAGAATAATGATGATCTCTAATTCGTGTGTAAATGCGTGTTTCAATATGTGTATATATGATTGAGTGTGTGTATATCAAGATTTAAAATATGCAGAAAACAATATTGTACAAATATTGATACACTGTGTAAAAGATGCAAATATATTTGATTAATGTATATTTTAGAACATACTTTTTTGTATAGTGTAATTTAGATATTCTCAAATTATTTAATTGTAAGATTATCAAGTAAATTATCAAGCATTGCGTCGCTTGTAAGTTAAAAAAAAATTTGATTCTTACAATTAGTTGTTTATAACATTTATATCTAAATTTCGGCATATAAATTATCAAGCTCAGAGATATTTATACATTTATTATTAATTACAACAATTACTCAGACATCCGTCTTTTTTTTTTTGAATTTGATGACATATTTTTATATTTTCTGGAAAATATATTAATAATTTTTACATTAAAATATATTAGTTAATTAGTTACAAACAACAATTTCAAGGTCACCATGAAATTAAAATATATTTTAATGCACCATAAAATATACAGGGTATCCGGAGTCAATCACATCACATGTCGTGTGCAGATAGAGCGGATTAAACTGAGTAGGAAAGTCCTTTATCATTTTGCGATTTTTGAAATAATTATTGAGAAATTAATTAAAAAAGACGGATCAGTTCGCATGAGTATAAGCGCGCGGCAAGAAAGGACGGCCCAGAAACAACCTAAAAGTTTGCGGTCGCTAGGCGCGCGACGAAATTTTGGGAGGAACGCTCTACAAATGAAAACGGTTACGTACGGGCGATACATAACGATGGACTCCGCTTCCTAGCAACCACACATCAATGGATTATCCCTTTTTACTGCGCGCTTATACTACACGAATTGGTCGATCTTCTTTAATTATTATAATTTCTCAATAATTATTACGAAAATCGCAAAATGGTAAAGGACTTTCCTACTCAGTTTAACCCGCTCTATCTGCATACGATGGGTGATGCGATTGACTCCGGACACCCTGTAGACTTGATTGTTTTTCTCGAAAAAAAGTTAAATCTTTTGTATTTAAATTGTCTTTTTTTACATTAAAGAGACGGTGACATATTAATTGTAATGCAGTTTTAAGTTTACGTGTATATTTATCGCGTATATTTATAAACAGGGTGATTTAAATCAACGCACACGAATATCTTGTAAAATAAGCAAGATGAAAAAAATGTTTTATGTAAAAGTTGTAGGGTTTCAAAGGGGCCACATGATAAAAATATGGACTTGATCACCTTTTCAAGGCGAGGTCAATGTGGTCGATGTTTTCTTAAATAGACCCCCCATTTTTTATTGCATATTCTTGTAGCTTATTTCGAGAGCTTTTCAAAACACTATAATACAGTATTTTTTCATTAAGTACTTTTCGAGTTATTTTATATCTTAATCTGACATATTTCGATAAAAAATAAAATATCTCGTAAAATATTTAGTTTTCGATAATCTTACCGTAATATTTTTATGTACAGAATAATGAGACAAATCAATTAGTATAAGAAAATTAATTGTTTTTAAGAAAAAGTATAATTATTTACAATGTATTTTTTTAAACAATTATTTGTTTTTATATTAACTGATTTGTCTCTTTCTTCTTTATATAAAAATAAATATTTGTTTTTCTCTTTACACTAATTGATTTGTCTCATTATTCTGTACATAAAAGTATTACGGTAAGATTATCGAAAACTAAATATTTTACGAGATATTTTATTTTTTATATCACAAAATATGTCAGATTAAGATATAAAATAACTCGAAAAGTACTTAATGAAAAAATACTTTATTATATTGTTTTGGAAAGCTCTCGAGATAAGCTACAAGAATATGCAATAAAAAATTGGAAGTTCTATTTAAGAAAACATCGAACACATTGACCTGGCCTTGAAAAGGTCACTCAAGATCAAGTCCATATTTTTATCATGTGACCCCCTTGAAACCCTACAACTTTTGCATAAAACTTTTTCATCATGTGTCCCCCTCTGAACCCTACAACTTTTGTATAAAACATATTTTTCCATCTTGCTTACTTTACGAGATATTTGCGTGCGTTGATTAAAATCACTCATCCTTTATATTCGTATATTTATTATAATTATCCATTCACTTCTTCACAATGTATGTTTTTTATTTCCACAAAAATATTCACAGATATGTCTTCCACTTTATCGCATTCTTTATACATTATATTGTTATATTGCTTTTTCTTAAAAAAAAATATTTGCTCAGAACAGATAACTTTTCCAACTGGAGAACTTTAAAGATCTGAACACGCGGTAATAAATTATTAGCATATTCTGAAAAAAATTTTACTTGTTATTATTTAATATATAGTATTTGTGTAATAATAGTATCAAATCTTCTTTCAGTCTTTTATTACTTTTTTTATTAAACATGATGTTCTCTTGTTTGCCATTTTCTTATTTATTTGTCTGGAAAGAAACATATGAATCGTTTCCTTAGTGGATGACAAAACGATAATTTCAGAAAATTGTCCAACTTTTCCGTCTCTCTCTCTCTCTCTCTCTCTCTCTCTCTCTCTCTCTCTCTCTCTCTCCCTTTCTTACTTATCTATTTTTTATTTATCAATAAATAGAACACTTAAGCAGTTGTAGGCCTATTATTCTAAAAATTTGTATTGTCGAGAATGATGTTACAACCGTATAATTTGTACAAATACAAATGCAAATGCAAACTATACTTGCGTTCTTCAAGAAATCGGAGGAGTGATATGAATAATGGATTAGAAAGAAATCCAAAGAAAGTCGCGAGGGGTTGTCGCAGCGTAACAAATGCGGCTTGCATTTATAACAAATTGGATATCGAACGATGCGATCATCGTGGAGAGACAAAAAGTTACAATCATTTTTGGAGAGAAGTAAACCGGGAAGACACTCGGTAGACTTATCGTAAAATATTTATCTCGGAGACAATAATAATTCAAGAAATTGCGTAGAATAATCTGAAGTTTCAATGGACTTAAAAATGGGGCTTATACAGTGGAATGCTGAAACTGGGTATGTCTTGACGCTTTATAAATATCTTCTTGGTATACTTGGACTTTGGGTATTGGATGAAGAAAATGTATTCTCGAGGATTCGATGGTTCATGTCGACAATGGTGGAAGTAAGTTATAATATCTTTTTGAATATTATTAATGTAATTAATATATATCAGATCCCTATATCGTAGTTTTTTTTCGTTTGATTTATAAATTTTAGTTTCACTTATGAGTCTTACATCTTGAGAGAATCTTGATGATATCTTACTGCATGAATAAGAATTGAAACAAAAGTTATAAATAATAAGTACACACTACACTATAATTTGATAAAAATAACGTGTTTTCATAAAGACTGAATACATATGTCTAATTTTCGTGAACCAGCTGACTGCAACGATCAGTCTGTCACTGGAAGTGATTCGACATTGTCACGGTTACGAGGACGCTTTTGACGCTTTTCTATCGGCCTCTTCATCTGTGATTAGCATGTCGAAACTGCTCTTGCATCGCGTGAATTGGAGAGACAAGTTGATTCTGGTGCAAGCCATCATCCATGATTGGACTTTTGTCGAGAATCCTCACTCGCGCGATATAATGCTGAAGTATGCGCGCACAGGTAGATTCGGCTCTTTGATATTCTTTTATCTCGGTTGCGCCTCCTGCGTGTTTCTCTTCTCGCCCTTTATATTCGCCAATCTCGATCTATCTTGGATTTCCTTGGAAAAGCAGACTTACAATAAAACGAACGAAAGAAGATTGCTTTTAGCGGCCTATTGCGTCTTCGAAACATATACATCCTTCGCTTACGGCTTCGTTGAAGTCCTGCAGGCGTTACAAATCCTCGTCAACTGCATCTCGCAGTGCGGAAACGACGGATTTTTCTTTGATCTTACGATGCATGTGTGTGGACAATTCGAGGTTCTTAGGACGGACTTCGCTGAAATAAGTAGCGAACAATCGCTTTCCCACAATAAACTTGGCATCCTGTTGAAGAGACATCACCGTCTCATAAGTCTAGCGCATCATCTGCAAAAAGCATACAGCTTAGTCATCTTGTCGCAGCTTTTAATGAGCGTCATGCTCTTATGCGTCGAAGGTAACTTTTATTTTAGAAAGGAATAGCAATTGAATTTATACATATACATATATATACATACATACATATAAACGCACATATATACAGGGTGTCTGATAATTTTTGACACACCCGAAGTGTGAAAGTAGATTGGCCTCTCTCCCTTTCGTAATTACAGATTTTTTATTTATCAATAAATAGAACACTTAAGCAGTTGTAGGCCTATTATTCTAAAAATTTGTATTGTCGAGAATGATGTTACAACCGTATAATTTGTACAAATACAAATGCAAATGCAAACTATACTTGCGTTCTTCAAGAAATCGGAGGAGTGATATGAATAATGGATTAGAAAGAAATCCAAAGAAAGTCGCGAGGGGTTGTCGCAGCGTAACAAATGCGGCTTGCATTTATAACAAATTGGATATCGAACGATGCGATCATCGTGGAGAGACAAAAAGTTACAATCATTTTTGGAGAGAAGTAAACCGGGAAGACACTCGGTAGACTTATCGTAAAATATTTATCTCGGAGACAATAATAATTCAAGAAATTGCGTAGAATAATCTGAAGTTTCAATGGACTTAAAAATGGGGCTTATACAGTGGAATGCTGAAACTGGGTATGTCTTGACGCTTTATAAATATCTTCTTGGTATACTTGGACTTTGGGTATTGGATGAAGAAAATGTATTCTCGAGGATTCGATGGTTCATGTCGACAATGGTGGAAGTAAGTTATAATATCTTTTTGAATATTATTAATGTAATTAATATATATCAGATCCCTATATCGTAGTTTTTTTTCGTTTGATTTATAAATTTTAGTTTCACTTATGAGTCTTACATCTTGAGAGAATCTTGATGATATCTTACTGCATGAATAAGAATTGAAACAAAAGTTATAAATAATAAGTACACACTACACTATAATTTGATAAAAATAACGTGTTTTCATAAAGACTGAATACATATGTCTAATTTTCGTGAACCAGCTGACTGCAACGATCAGTCTGTCACTGGAAGTGATTCGACATTGTCACGGTTACGAGGACGCTTTTGACGCTTTTCTATCGGCCTCTTCATCTGTGATTAGCATGTCGAAACTGCTCTTGCATCGCGTGAATTGGAGAGACAAGTTGATTCTGGTGCAAGCCATCATCCATGATTGGACTTTTGTCGAGAATCCTCACTCGCGCGATATAATGCTGAAGTATGCGCGCACAGGTAGATTCGGCTCTTTGATATTCTTTTATCTCGGTTGCGCCTCCTGCGTGTTTCTCTTCTCGCCCTTTATATTCGCCAATCTCGATCTATCTTGGATTTCCTTGGAAAAGCAGACTTACAATAAAACGAACGAAAGAAGATTGCTTTTAGCGGCCTATTGCGTCTTCGAAACATATACATCCTTCGCTTACGGCTTCGTTGAAGTCCTGCAGGCGTTACAAATCCTCGTCAACTGCATCTCGCAGTGCGGAAACGACGGATTTTTCTTTGATCTTACGATGCATGTGTGTGGACAATTCGAGGTTCTTAGGACGGACTTCGCTGAAATAAGTAGCGAACAATCGCTTTCCCACAATAAACTTGGCATCCTGTTGAAGAGACATCACCGTCTCATAAGTCTAGCGCATCATCTGCAAAAAGCATACAGCTTAGTCATCTTGTCGCAGCTTTTAATGAGCGTCATGCTCTTATGCGTCGAAGGTAACTTTTATTTTAGAAAGGAATAGCAATTGAATTTATACATATACATATATATACATACATACATATAAACGCACATATATACAGGGTGTCTGATAATTTTTGACACACCCGAAGTGTGAAAGTAGATTGGCTCAAACTGAGAAGGAAAGTCCTGTACTATATGTGTGTATATACAGGGTGGATCACTAAAGGTGTTACAAGCTAATATTTCTGAAACTGAACGAGATATGAAATTCTTATTTTCCAGCGACTGTTTGATATTAAAACGGGCATTTGACGTAAAAATGGAATTGCGAAATTCCAATACGAAATTAATTATTTTAAAGTAAGGATTTCATATCTCGTTCAATTTTAGAAATATTAGCTTGTAACACCTTTAGCAATCCATCTTCTATATATAAATATTCATAATTTCTTTCCCTCCAATATAGCACTACACATTTACACGCGTATATATATATATATATATATGTATATATGTGTGCGAGCGTGCGTGTGTGCGCGCGTGCGTGTGTGCGCGCGTGCGTGCGTGCGTGCGTGCGCACGTGCGTGCGTGCATGCGGTGCGTGCCTGCGTGCGTGCGCGTATGTGTGTACATATATACAGAGTGTATAATAATAATCGCACTACCCATAATGTGCAGGTAGAGTAGGTGAAACCGAAGAGGAAAGTCCTTTACCATTTTGCGATTTTTGTAACAATTATTGAAAAATTAATTGAAAAAGATCAACCAATTTGCGCGAGCATTACAAGTACAAGCGTGCAGCGAGAAGAAACAATCCAAAAGTTTGCGCTCGCTAGGCGCGCGACGGACTAGGAGGCTAGGAGCGCTCTACAAATGACAACGATTACGTACGAGCGGTACATATCGCTGGATTCTCATATCCTAGCAATCACATATCAATGGGATCGTCCTTTCTCGCCGCGCGCTGATACTCGCGCGAATTGGCCGATCTTTTTAAATTAATTCCTCATTAATTATTGCAAAGATCACAAAACGGTAAAGGACTTTCCTACTCAATTTAACCCGCTCTACCTGCATATTATGGATGGGGCGATTATTATCAAACATCCTGTATATATATAGGGTGAGTCATTTTAATGTCTCCCCCTAAATATCTTTTTTCAGTAATTATTTACATTAACAGACACCTCGCCGATGATCTTGACTTTCACATATGTTGTAAGGGTGAGATTGCTGATTAATGTTCACTTTGTTTTTGGCGGTCTCGTATAGTTTTTGAGATATTAACGGTTTACTGAATAAAACGTAATTTTCTGATACGTTATATCTTTAATAGAGAATATTAAATATGTATTTAATAAACACCTATACATAAACTACTTGTATCAGATATTTATTTACAATGTATTTCGAGTGTCTATATTATTCAGTAAAGTCATTTTTTGATATTATGTCTAAATTATATCCGCTATCAGAATAACTTTAAAATATAACATTCGTTTTAATATTTGTATTTGTTATTTTTAATTAGTTAAATATACAAAATGATAAAAATTCCGAATAGAGAGTTGGAGAATTCAAGTTTTTATCAAAATTATAAAATACAAAAAGTTATGACTTTTACGCGTGGGCGGAGGAGAGGCTCCGCTTCTCCCCTTGCAACCCCACTATAAAAAATTCTAACCTAACCCAAACCTAATTTTAATGTGAAATTAGAAATAGATTTGAGTTAGATTAGAATTTTTCGCAGTTGGGATACAGGGATGATACACACTTTGTCCACGCATTTTATTTGCTACGTTTAAATAAATAAATCTGCTAAAAGTACACTCTATTAAATATATATGTCAAAAAATTACGTTTTATTCAATAAACTTTTTTTGTTAAATATTTCAAAAACTATACAAGACTGCCAAATAATCAAAGTAAATATTAATCAGCAACCTCATCCTTACAACATATGTGGGTAAATATGCATAAAACGTCACACCTCACGGATTTAATAGCCACTTAGACATGTTGTAGAAGGGAGTGTTCTGAGTAATTCCCCGCAAGAATCAAGTGGCGGTCGGTATTGGTTTAGGAGATACAACAAATTAAAATTTCCACTTCCGGAAGATATAACCTAACCCAAACCTATTTTCAGTTTTAAAAGTAAAGTTGAAGACATGACTCAGAAATTCATGTAGTCGCATATTGAAAGCTTAACAAACTGCGAGAAATAGGTGAAACTGATTATTGACAAAATATTTATGACTTTTTCCATATCTACCCTACAACAAATACAATGTAGACAAACTTCACTTTTCCTAATATTATAATTTATAATACCTAAGAAAAAGCATTAAAACCGTGAAACTTAAATTTGTTATATCTCCTAAACCAATGCCGACCGCCACTTGATTCTTGCGCAGAATTACTCAGAACACTTCCCCCTACAACATATCTTAATGGCGATTAAATCGTGTGACCTTTTATGCATATTACCCAATGTTTCGTGCAAAAGTTTTGTGACTTCGATGGGGAAATAAGATGGTGTTATTGGTTTGATCTTGAATAAAGGTCTCATAAAATTATTTCAAAGTCATCTTCCTTTTTTTAGATGGGACGACCTGAATTGTTTACATAAATCGATTCCTTACAGCTTACAATATTCGGCGTAAAAGATTATAAGGGTAGTATGGCCAAGAATTAAAAAGTTTACAAAATATTTTACACGTATTTAATGTAACATAATCTTATATAAACTTTATGAAATATCTCATAAAATATTTGTTCGGGAGTCGATCTCCACAAGATCGCCCGAAACTGAGAGAGACGCTCAGAGATGAGCGAGAAGCGGTATGTTACGCGAATCCGTAGATCCGCAGGAGGATAAGGAGATTGAGAAATGAGTCGAGTGCAGATGTTAAATGTTTTATTTTCTGAAGCAATCGTTTTAATATAACGGCAAAATTTAGAAACGAAAATTTAATGATTCAATTTTGAACAGGCTTTGAACAGCTTTCGAACGGCTATCGAACGGCTATGAACGACTATTGAACGACTATTGCTAAAGTTAAGATAGCATACTTGGATATCGGTTTCCTGATAGATGGATTGGCCGTGCTGGTCCTATTGCCTGCCCAGCTCGCTCTCCAAACCTGAATTCACTCGATTATTACTTGTGGGGGCATCTAAAATCCATTGTTTACAAAACACCCATTGACAACGTCGAGATACTTCGTCAACGTGTTGAAGATGGTTGCCGGGAAACTCAAGCAATACCCGGAATTTTTGAAAAAGTCAGACAATCTATGATGAGACGTGTTGAAGCCTGTATTCAAGTTAGAGGTAGTCATTTTGAGCACTTCCTGTAACCGTAATTATCTTAATTCTGTTGAAAAATAAAACAAGCTATAACTTGATTCAATTTTGAACAATATTTTCTTTTCGATTATTTTACCTTAATAATTTTATGCACAAAATAATGAGAGAAATATCAATTGGTCTAAAAAAACATATAGTTGTTTTTAAGAGAAAATATGCAGCTACTCGTTGCAAATTTATATATTTTTTTTGAATATATATTTTATATGTATTATATTATTTATATTTTTTGTACAAATCAAATATACAGAGTGTATCCTAAAAAGTGGGAAGTATTGCAATGGGGGATTCAGAACACAAAAATAAGAGAAAAAGTTCATATAAACATATGTCCGATATGACCTTGTTTTCAAATTATAGCTTGTTTTATTTTCCTAAAGTTAAGATAGCATACTTGGATATCGGTTTCCTGATAGATGGATTGGCCGTGCTGGTCCTATTGCCTGCCCAGCTCGCTCTCCAAACCTGAATTCACTCGATTATTACTTGTGGGGGCATCTAAAATCCATTGTTTACAAAACACCCATTGACAACGTCGAGATACTTCGTCAACGTGTTGAAGATGGTTGCCGGGAAACTCAAGCAATACCCGGAATTTTTGAAAAAGTCAGACAATCTATGATGAGACGTGTTGAAGCCTGTATTCAAGTTAGAGGTAGTAGTCATTTTGAGCACTCCTGTAACCGTAATTATCTTAATTCTGTTGAAAAATACAACAAGCTATAACTTGAAAACATATCGGACATATGTTTATAAGAACTTTTGTAGGGAACAAAGGGGGCTATCTAATAGTGACCTTGGATTTGACATTAAAGGTCATTTTCAAGGTCTTTTGAAGGTCAACTTCCGTGATACATTGTAAATTATTTACTTAAAACTCTCGAGGTAAGCTACAAGAATATGTAATGATAAATAGGAGTTTCCATTTAAAAAACGGAAGTTGACCTTCAAATGACCTTGAAAATGACCTTTAATGTCAAATCCAAGGTCACTATTAGATGGCCCCCTTTGTTCCCTACAACTTTTATTCAAGTCGTTTTCCTTCAAACGTTGATCCTGAAAAGTTATGAGGGTCGAACTTTTAAAATGGGACACCCTGTATACAGTGTTCGACAAGTAAGTGACCAAACAAAAGGTGGAAGTAGATTGGGTCAAACTGAAAAGAAAAGTCCTGTACCATTTTGTGATTTTCGTAATAATTATTGAGAAATTAATTAAAAAAGATTGACCAATTCGCGTGAGTATAAACGCGCAGCGAGAAGAAACAACCCAAAAGTAGGCGCGCCAAAAAGTTTTGGGATGAGCGCTCTACAAATGACAACAGTTACGTTAAATGGTACATAACGATGGATTCTCACGTTCTAGTAATCACATATCAATGCCGTCCATATCAGGTTGTTCTTTCTTACCGCGCGGTAATACTTGCGCGAATTGGCCGATCTATTTTAATTAATTTCTCTATAATTATTACGAAACTCGCAAAACGGTACAGGACTTTTCTTTTCAGTTTGATCCAATCTACTTCCACCTTTTGTTTGATCACTTGTCGGACACCCTGTATACATATATACAGGGTGAGTCTGATAAAAAGTCCACCATGTTTTTCTCCAAAACGATTAGAGATAGAAGAAGACATCCATTATCAAATTTGTAGGACAAGTAGGGGCAAATATTTTGGTGACCTTGAACATGACCTTGAGGGTCAATTGAAGGTCAACTTTGTTTTCTTAAATGGAAACCACCTTTTTTATTGCATATTCTTGTAGCTTATCTCAAGAGCTTTTCAAAACAGAAGTATTTGTTTTTTTCTTTACACTAATTGATTTGTCTTATTATCCTGTACATAAAAGTATTACGGTAAGATTATCGAAAACTAAATATTTTATGAGATATTTTATTTTTTATATCAAAATATGTCAGATTAAGATATAAAATAACTCAAAAATATAATAAAACATAATAAAAAAATACTTTATTATAATGTTTTGAAAAGCTCTCGAGATAAGCTATAAGAATATGTAATAAAAAGTGGGGGGTTCTATTTAAGAAAACGTCGACCACATTGACCTCATCTTGGGTAATTATTTACTATAACGGACCTAGCTCCAATGACGTTGACCTTGACATATGTTGTCAAGGATATAATCCTGAGTAACTTTTCCTTATAACTTAATCGGCGGTCATTGTTTATTAAATTTGGTGTGGATTACGTTGTATAACTCAAACCAAATTTTCAGAAATAGGTTTGAGTTAGGTTATATCTTTCGGAAGTGGAGCCCCCCCGTAGGGGGGGCGGAACTCACTACGCCCACGCATACACTTTCCCATCCACACAACAATTCTGGGCTGAACCTCGCTTCGAATTGTAAAGTATATGCATGGACACAGTGGGTTCCGCCCTCTCCCTACGGAGGGGCTCCACTTCCGAAAAATATAACCTAACCCAAATCTATTTCTGATTTAAAACTAAAATTTGATTCAAGTTACGTTATTTAACTCAAATCAAATTTTCGTTTCGAATCTAACTTTAACTTTAAATATTTTAAAAATTATCAGAGACCGCCGATTAAGTTATAAGGAAAAGTTACTCAGGATTATGTCTTTAACAACATATGTCAAGGTCAACATCATTGGAGTTGGGTCCGTTATAGTAAATAATTACCATATATATATATTTAATTGCAATGCAACTTCTCGGATACTTTACAGTGATTATAATATGACAAAATATATTATTTACCATTAATTTAGTTCATCATCATATATATTTCAGGTTTTCAATTAATTCTCACGCTGTCTATGCACAATACGTTTGCTGCTATGAAACACCTCCTTTTCATCGTCGTGCTGCTGGTACAACTTTTTATCTACTGCTTTGCCGGTCAAACGTTGGAATTTCAATCGCAAGGACTTGCCTACGCCATTTACGAGACACCGTGGTATAATTTTAACATTAGCGTGATGAAAGATTTGCCACTGATGATACTTCGGACAACTAATCCTCATCGGTTAACTGCAGGAAAATTTTTAGCGATAAATTTCGAGAGTTTTAAAGAGATTGTAAAGACTTCCGCCTCGTATCTGTCCGTGTTACGAGTGATGCTAGACACGTAAGATATTTTTTATAAGTAAAGAGACAGTATTTGAATTTATCATTGTATAACATATTGATTTAAAAATTATAATATTTTTTTAACGCAACACTTGATAAAAAAACCTGTCATTATAATATTACCTTTTGTACTGTATTGATGAGATTATTGAAATAATTACAACAAAACGGTTAAATAGATATTTAAATGGATGGAGATACATGTAAAAGCGTTTTGCTTAGTTAAAGAATAAAAACTTGAGTAAATCTATTAAATATATTATCATTATTGTAATAATTTTCGAGCATCGATAAATTAATAAATTTGGAAATTTCGAAACTTCTAAATTGGAAATATACAGGGTGAGTTTTTTAACTTGAAACTGTAAAATATCTCGGAAAGTAAGCTTTATCGAAAAAAATGTTTCAATAAAAAGTTGTAGGGTTTGGAGGGGGCCACATGATAAAAATATGGATTTGACCAAGAGTGACCTTCTCAAGGTGAGGTCAATGTGATCGACGTTTTCTTAAATAGAACCCCTATATATATATATATATATATATTTCCAATTTAGAAGTTTCGAAATTTCCAAGTTTATTAATTTATTGATGCGGACCGTCGCGCGGGCCTCCGTTCTCTCGATTTAGGGAGAGAGAGCGGCCCGAGCGCGAGTTCAGACGCGATCTCGCGATTTTGTTGCGTTTTTTTAATGATAATCTAAGAGAATTAGCGTAATGGCGGCAAACAGCAGAGAGAATGACGAGATCTCATCCGGGGACAGCAGAGTGCACGAGAGGCTAACATTCAGGACGAATCGAGGCCCGATCCGACATACACGGAGCACGCCTGGTAATGGCATCATGCCTTTTGAGATCACCTATTTAATCATGGCAGAAAGTAGTCATGTCGCATTTTAAGAAAACCGCTGCCCATAGGATACGGGGATGCCGAAGGGGACGGCCCCTCCGCATGCTACTTGCATGGGAATCCCGACACGGAGGTACGGGACTGCGCCCGGTGCACGAGTCCGGAGCTCCGACCCGGATGAAATCCAAAATCGATAAGGCAATCAAGAAGGGGACCATCCGAAGTCACAAAGGGACAGAAGAGGCCCGGATCAGTTTGTATGCTGCCGAAAAATGTCCTCCACGTCCCAAAGGAAGAGGCGAGAGGAAAGATGCGATCGAGAACCAAAAGAGCGATACCGCGAGGTCCGCAAGGATCAACAAGACCACGCGACGGTCCTGAAGACCCGGAAGCGCCACAAGTAACCTACTGATAAATTAATATGCCGGCGTATCTCTTGCGGGCCTTCCACTCGTCACTGCTCAGCAGACCAGTTTAGAGAGCGATGGCCTTAGCTAGAACCATCCCTACGAGGCGGACTACGGGCTAGAAGCTAGAAACCGGTGAGACGGACATCCTGCTGTAAAGCCGCTAATTCTGATTTGTGATATGGATGAGCCGTGCCGTTTATTCATCGCGGTCGTAAGTTAATCTAGTCTTTTCCAAATTTTTGCCGTACTTTCGCGTTTAAGATTAAACAGCACGGCCGAACCGGCTCATCCGAGCCTTCTTGTGTCGTGTAAGTACTCTCTCTCCCGGGAAGCTCGCCGCGGACAGTTATATTTGTATTTTTCGATTTATTGCTACCGTTTTTGTGTCTGACTATTGTCTTGCAGCGAGCTCATATACCGCAGATGTTTTTTGTCTCGAATGTATCTCGTGCGTTGTAAGAATTATGCAGCCATGCATGTGTTGTATTTCCAGTATATTTTATGTAATCGGTATTTCACAGATTATTTGGAGGATTTATCGATGTTGTACAATTGTTATATTGCGTGGAATTGTAGTATCTTCAGATAAGTGCATCACGTGAGTCGCGTAATTACGATTCTCTCTCTTTTGCGTAGCGCCCGTCATTCGCTGTAATAATTGTAAAATCGTAAGTTAGAGAAGGGTCAAATCCGAACAACGATATTGAGATTATATCCCGCAACTACGAACTATTGTCGCGAATAACGGCTGCTATACAAACGCCTTTGTATTCCGTCTTGGACAACATCTTTATTATTTTACGTGGGCGAGTGCAGGTTATTTATATTGAGATCTAAGGAATTTTCCGTTGCTACCGAGGCCCGAACACGCTCAACGCGCCGAGAAATTCGCGTCCACCGTATAATCGATCTTTACTCGCGCGTGCCGTGAAACGCGATACTTTTGCACTCGGTCACGATAACACGTTAAGGCCAACGAACAGGCCGATATCTCCAAAATTATGTTTTATTTTTTTTCAACTATATTTAAACTTGTTGATATATTATTATTTTGTTAAATCTTGGTGCCTTCTAAATTTCTGCTTGCCAATTTCGATTCCTTCCGGTCCCGTTCGAATCACTCCCTTTATAAATCTCGTTAACTGAGCGGTCGCGGATTCTGCCGTTGCGATTATTTCTCGATCTTGCATTTATTGGTTTTTTTGCGAGTTTTGTGTGGCGCGAATTCTCGCGCCTGGCGCCCAATCTATCGCTACCGAAATTTGCTCTTGTATGAGATCGAGCTATCATATATCTCGCCGAAGGTGTGCCGTGGGTCATTACCAACGATCCGTCAGAAAAAATAAAATAATCACGAAAAATAATTACGGTCACAATATATACAGGGTGTCTCACAACCTCCGTACAATACTTTATTAGCGTGTTCTAGAGGTAAAATAGAGACAAAAATTCTAATACAAAAATTTTGAGGCTGCAATAGTTTTTGAGTTATAAGCGATCAAAGTTTGCCAATGATATCGTAAAACTCGCGCGCTCAGGCCCGTAATTACACTTACACGCGTACCGACCGTACTGTCATCTGTTATTGATTTTTTCAAGTCAGGTGATATTGATTTTTACTGCACAGCTGATTTTATTTCCTCGTTTTCTATGTATTACGTCGTGTGTATTACGCCTACATTGTACATTATAGCGATAGGCTAATATTAACAAATTATAAATCTTATACGGACAACATTTAATTCTTGAATAATTTAATATAAATTAATTAAATATTTACATTGTTCAAGATTGAAACGTTTAATTTAGTCGATAAAATTAAACTTATAAACGTGGTCAATCGGGACCGTGGTCAATCGGAACCGTGGTAAATATCAACATGGTCAATCGGGACTGTGGTCAATCGGGACTGTGGTCAATACCAACGTGGTCAATCGCAACGTGGTCAATCTCAACGTGGTCAATCGGGACCGTGGTCAATATCAACGTGGTCAAACGGGACGCTCCCCATTATGGCGATAGGCTAATATTAACAGATTATATATCTTATACGGAAAACATTTAATTCTTGAATAATTTAATTAAATATTCAAATAATTAAATATTATTTGATTATGTGAATATTTAATTAATTTAAAGTAAATTATTCAAGAATTAAATGTTGTCCGTATAAGATTTATAATTTGTTAATATTAGCCTATCGTTATAATGTACAATGTAGGTGTAATACACACGACGTAATACATAAAAAACGAGGAAATAAAATCAGCTGTGCAGTAAAAATCAATATCACCTGATTTGAAAAAAACCAATAACAGATGACAGATCGGTACGCGTGTAAGTGTAATTACGGGCCTGAGTGCGCGAGTTTTACGCGATATCATTGGCAAACTTTGACCGCTTATAACTCAAAAACTATTGCAGCCTCAAAATTTTTGTATTAGAATTTTTGACTCTATTTTACCTCTAGAACACGCTAATAAAGTATTGTATGGAGGTTGTGAGACACCCTGTATATATGTGGCGTATTTTCGCTACGACAGCGCCTAAAAAGCAAGCGCGCCGGAAACAAGAAAGCGCCAACAAATATATCAGCTGCACAAAAGCACCTCACGCATGGGCGATCACGTATCCAGCACATGCGAGCTCACGGTTGACATCACGCGCTTAGCACGTGTAAGCTTGCGGCAGCCTCATGAGCTTATCGCGACGCGATGACAGCCGCTACCTGTGAGTGGGATCCGATGAGAGGCGTTTATAAGAGCGCACAGCAGGATTAGACACCGAGTCGCTGCTCACACCCAGTAGAGACTAGATCTCTCCAACTCGCGCCGACATAATAGAACGCGAAGTTTCTTCGCCGCCTACCTTTTGTGGAGCCTTGTCTCCTAAAACACGCCAACGTCGCTGTCCAGCACGATCACTTCCGCCGCCCAAATCACCGGGCTAGCGGAACAAGAGACGTCGCAGGATCGCAGTCATCGGCGCAGCAACACCAAGAGAAGCGAGTAGACTGGAGCCTACTTCCCTGGAGGCTCATCCCGATCGACCTGTCGCTGCCGAAATTGACTCAACCTACCAGACACCTTCTCACGACGTGGAACGTGCGCATCCGAAGATACACATCGCCGAGAGAAGCTTAATTGGGTCGCTCCACCACTACTATCTCCATTCCCTACATCACCGACACGGCCCATCTTCAGGGAGACGCAGACTCTTCCACCTGCAACCTGCAAGAATGCATAGGGGCACGCAGGCAGTGATGCCAGAATTGAGACGCGAGCAACACGACTCCGTAATGGTAGGGACACACACACAAGCGTAAACCGTGTACATGTAATGCGCAGAGCGCTCTGCGCATTACATGTACACGGTTTACGCTTGTGTGTGTGTCCCTACCATTACGGAGTCGTGTTGCTCGCGTCTCAATTCTGGCATCACTGCCTGCGTGCCCCTATGCATTCTTGCAGGTTGCAGGTGGAAGAGTCTGCGTCTCCCTGAAGATGGGCCGTGTCGGTGATGTAGGGAATGGAGATAGTAGTGGTGGAGCGACCCAATTAAGCTTCTCTCGGCGATGTGTATCTTCGGATGCGCACGTTCCACGTCGTGAGAAGGTGTCTGGTAGGTTGAGTCAATTTCGGCAGCGACAGGTCGATCGGGATGAGCCTCCAGGGAAGTAGGCTCCAGTCTACTCGCTTCTCTTGGTGTTGCTGCGCCGATGACTGCGATCCTGCGACGTCTCTTG